GAACAATAATCCTGGAGCACATGGAAAGGCTCACTAAGTATTAAGCAGCATTACTACCATCATCATATGCCGTAACAAAACAGCCGAATCCGTTAGTTGGCTTTATCTCAGTGACTTCACTACTGTGGGGGAAATTAATCATGTCTGACTGTGAATAATGCATTCCTACAGTGTTGTCTTTGTTATTTGTCAATGACATTGTGATCAAAGCTGCTATAAACATCATATTTGCGTACTGAATAGAATTTGCATCTCTTGATATGACTATTTGGTTACATAACAAAAACTTCAAATTCAGTGCCTCGGCTCAGTGGTCATGCGCATCAGAAATAAATATGCAAATCATTTCGTGTTATTAGTTTATTGTAGTTAACAAATTTTCATTAATATTAGCAGGGTAACTTATAACTTAGTTTTTCTTACGTTTCTTCCTTAGCAAAGTCTTTTAAGGGAAAACTGTTGAACTATTTTTAAAAATGAATAATGATTTAAAATGATAAACCAAAAGCCACTTATTGCTTTTTTAAAGATATTACACTGCTTTATATTGAATATAATCATATTTGTATGCATGTATAATCCTCCAAATCTCATGCAGGTACATGTTGTTGATTTTGATTAGCGTAGTGAAAAGTACCAAATAAGTAAATGCATCAATAAGAACTATGGAAATCTTTTAGGTTAAAGTCTCTGTATCAATAAATATATTTGCACTGAATTAGTGTTATAGAATCTTTTTTTTTCATATTCTGAGATTTTAACTGATTATGTATTATTTCTTGACATTTGACCTGATAAAGTGCTGTTACTTTACATTTGGAAATAAAGATTTTGTGTAACTTACTCTACCATAACCACTGAAAATGATGAAAAAATATTCATCAAACAGGCATATTTTTCAGTTTGATGCCTCCAAGAGGAGGGCAGTTTTGGCAAAAAACGTTCAGATTTCTGTTATAAACAGATGGTGGCACAGTGGTTCTCCATCCCATATCTTCAATGCCTCTGATGCTTTCAAAATCGGGGCTGAAACTACTCTGGATTAGATTGCCATAAAAGGTGGTAAATATTTTAGAGGGACATTTCTGTGATTTCTCAGCTTCAACCTTCACTATCACAGCACTAAAAGGATCCAGGATTAGGAAACTTTCTTGTGTTTGCCAATTGCCATTGTGGGGCTGCACATGACATATGACATTAAGACCTACTTCACACGATAGCTATTGGGATCTGTGTTTTATGGTGAGTTATTATGAGAGAATGATGTGACAGACAGAGGAAATGAAACCCAGTGGTATTAAGCTCAGCCACTGCAACTAACCGTGGGAAATCCTAAAACTAGGTCAGACCAATACATAAGAAAAAAACCCGTTTCTATACTCATGTTGTTGTGGGAAATGAGGCCATCCATTTCCAACTGAAACTGAAAGTACAACATTTTTTCACTTTTACACAATACAATTTCTTATTCATTATATTTTATTCCAAAGTATGTATTAAATGTAATAAAATCGCAATTTAATGTCGCAATCGCAATGTATAATTGCCACAACATTGCGATTCCCTCCCTCTCAGATTGCGTTTATATATCGCATGACTTTATAACACGCAATTTGAAAGCATTATGTATAAAATATGATGCCAATACAAAATACTGCATAACCTACTACTTCACCGACCATCTCTGGCTTCTCTCTTCAAGCACGTACCAGAAGAATGTCGATCAGCTGGCGGATATGACGTTCTCTCACATCCGGTTGTAATCGCGGAAGAGCAGCAGGCTGATAATAAGAGTGATGCGCTGATTTTGGTGAGTTTCGCATTCGCTCTGTCTCTCTCGGCTATTTTTTTAGTAACAGCGGTTTTGGTGCTTATAAATGACTTATCCAAACTTTTTTCAACTGTTAACTAAACGCCGACTTGCATTACCGAGGTCAGTAAGTATTTAAGTTTAGAGCTACAAGCTTGTTGATGCTCCGGCTATTCGTGCTATATACACTGTATGTGTGAATATATTCATGAATTCATAATTTCGTCTTTTCTGAATATCGAGTATTTGTTAACGAATGGTTGTTTAATGGGAACAGATTTATTTTTACAGTGATATATGTTTTAAAGCTTCCATTGGCACAGACAGGGAAACTGCATTCATGTCGGCTGAGCAGAATCGGTAAATGTATCAATCATATGATGCTTTTGCTTCCCAGATGCGTGTTTTCTGGCCTGTTTATGGCTGAATATATCTATTCATTGTTTAGACACACAGGGCAGATAGTGCTATCTAGTACTGGAAGTTAAAAGGTCTCTGTTTAATTACCTTACCTGCAGTCATACTGTAAATTATGTAAGTATAAAATAGGTATCTAAAGTATGGCAGAGAGATCAGGTTAGATTGTAGTGAGCTATAGTACCAGCATTTTCATTAATTTTACCACATATGTTATATTATTAGTATGTTTAAACAATTTTATATTACAAATGTAACATAAACATGATGCACAATATATCGGTATCGGCTGATATATGTTAATGTATAATGTTATCGTCATCGGGCCAATAAGAAAATTTGGCCGATAAATAACGGATTATTTATTTCCTTGAGCTGAGACTTCAGAAATGCACAGTTCGCCATGATGGTTTTGAATTGCTTGAAATATGATCGAAATCACTTCGAAAAAGAAAATACAGTTCAGTCTGTCATATGGGCAACATACAATTATAATCAGATCATTATAATTGTGCACTTGGGATATGGATTTATTAGTGAGACTTTTGTTTTTGTAATGCAGGCTTTCAAAAATGTTGATTTATCAGCCAATATCGGCTTTCACATGGAAAGAGTTATCAGTAACAGCCAAATTTTTCATATCGGTGCATCCTAAATTTGATTGACAGAAATACTAAATGTAAACATATATGTAGTACATTTACAGACTAACAATTTGTCCTTCGTATCTTTTGCTAGGCCATGACTTGTTTAGACCAGCTCTAAAAGTGGTCAAAGGCTGCTTGATTAGATCATGTATTCATGCATGTCGTTTGATCACTGTTCTTTCAGTTTGTGTATAATGGCAGTATGTTGCTTGAAAGCCAGATAAACTGCATCTTTGTTTGACATCTTTTCTTCTCTGGTTCAGGTGATGCGCTACGACTGCATGTAGGTATGCGGAGCGGCGTGGGCTACAGCGAGTTGGAGGGAAGTCTTCCAGCCATTGCTTCTTTGAACGCCTCGTATTCCCAGGCGTCCCTCTCGCTTCCCTCGCCTTACTACTCCCCGCTGCCCCCGGGAGAGAGGAAAGCCTTCTCGGACGTCCGCCGAACCTTCTGCCTCTTTGTTACGTTTGACCTCCTCTTCATCACTCTGCTCTGGATCATTGAATTAAATGTAAGTCTTCTCCAAATTGTCTTCTTGCCCAGTGCTATTCGTTTTTTCTCTGTCATGCAGTTTGTATTTCCTTTTTTTTTGAGTTCATATATTATAATTATAATTTGGGTTCATATTTACGGTTGATTGTACGTGCCTGTTTCACTTCCTCTGATGAAGAGAGTCATGCAAAATTTGCATATTATTTTTAACCATATTTAGTTAAGTAAATAGGGATGTGTGTATTCATTTATATAAAATATATGAAAATATTTTATGAAATATATGGAAATAAAACCTTGTTTATATTAAAATGTTTTTACTCATTTTAAATGTATCTTTGGCGTGTGATATAAAATAGTATATATATATATATATCTGTTTGATCTGTTTTTCTGTCTGTGTCTCTCAGATCAGTACGAGTATATGGGCCAGTCTTGAGAAAGAGGTCGTTTTCTACAACTTCAAGTCATCTTTCTTTGATATATTTGTAAGTATGAGTCTCAATGCTTTGTTACCTAGTGAACCATAATAAAAAGTGGCTTTATACAGCATGTACAAATAAATTCTGGGTGAATTTGGGGTACAAAAATGCCTTTTTTTATGCATTGAAGCTGCTCTCATATCTGCAACAAAAAAAAAACATTGCAAAAAAGTGATGGCATCTTAGAAAAATGTCAAAACTCTGATATTTACTACCTTCCTTCCTAATGGATCAGCACTGAACAGTCACTGTTAAATCCTTAGTTATTACTTTATATAGCAATAATCTCTTTCTTTTTCTCCTTTGCTTGTTCCTGCTCAGCTTTTAGCTGTGTTTAGATTTCTGTGTTTGCAGCTTGGATATGCTGTATTTCAATTGAGACACTGGTGGGTCGTTGCGGTAAGAAAGACCAACCTCAGCCCATAAACATCTCAGTATTTGCATTTTTTATACATCTATCTATCTATCTATCTATCTATCTATCTATCTATCTATCTATCTATCTATCTATCTATATATATATATATATATATTTGTAATGTATATACAGTAATTGTCCAAGACCAACCTCAGCCTATAAACATCTCAGTATTTGCATTTTTTTATACATTTATTATTATTATTTGATGTTTGTTTGTTTTTTTCATTATATTTATCAGGTAATGTTAGCATATAAGTAAAAACTCAACTTGTTTAGTGTGTACAGTACTGGTCAAAGGTTTGGAAACATTAACTTTTTGAAAGAAGTCTCTTCTGCTCATCATACCGGCATTTATTTGATCAAAAATACAGGAAAAACAACAATATTGTGAAATTATTAAAAATAATGATTTTCTATTTTAATAGATTAGAATGATTTCCGAAGGATCATGTGACACTGAAGACTGGCGTAATGGCTGATGAAATTTCAGCTTTGCTTCACAGAAATAAATAATATTTTATAATAAGTATATTCAACTAGAAAACCATTATTTTAAATTGTAATAGTACTTCACTATATCACTGTATTTTTTTTCAAATATATGCAGCTTTGATGAGCTTTTTTCAAAAACATTCAAAATAGTAATTTTTCCAAACTTTATATATATTTATATATCATTCTTTTTGTTCTTTCTCTGATGTCAGATCACTACTCTGGTGACCAGCGCCTTCCTCATTGCCAAAGTCATCATATCAGATGTAAGATAGTTAATGTTTTATCTTCCTAGCCAATCTATTTCAATGCTTAAATTATATGAGGTGAAGTCACATTGTCTGCTTTGTTCCTCAGATGAACCGCTAACAGCTCTCTGACTTCTTTACACGTTTTATTACGTTGCTGTAACAATAGAAATAGGTGTAGGAGGTCATATAGTTGTCTCTTGTTTTCTCAGTTGTTGAATCAGAATGCTTTTGGCTATGTTCTTCCCATCACCTCGTTTGTGTTGGCATGGTTGGAAACCTGGTTCCTGGATTTCAAAGTGCTCACACAGGAAGCAGAGGATGAGAGAGGTGAGAGAAGTTTTAATACAAATATTCAGGGCTGTATTTAATATACATGCATCAGTAAAAATAAAAGCTTTTGTTTATTCATGTTGGTCATAAAAGCATCCCTATAAGCTGAAATATTACTTGTTTGAAAATAGCGGGCAGTGGATGTCAGGTTTTGTTTTTTGTTTTTCTCCTGATCCTACATTTATTTTATTTCATGCAAACCCCCCTTAAGGCTTCATAATTATTTTTTTTTTCATGATCAATTTCAACTCTCTCTAAGGCTGTTAGAAATAAGCAGTTTGAAGTAAAAGCCTTTTGCATCTGTAACTTTAAGACGTATGAATTGTATCATAATATGATTGGCTGAAATTTTCCAAAATAAATTAGTAAAAACGTCTGAGACGTAGCCTGGGTTTCCGCTGCTAGGCAGCCTGGACACCATGAACCAAATTTTCGCCTGAGATAGGAGACCAATCACAGAACAGGGAGTGAGCAGCAAGACGATGATGACGTATGCGACACACCCGAAGCAGTTTGTTTATATCTATGGATCCATCTTGGCAGTGGACGCAAAGTTACCTTTTGATACAGCCTTTGTGTATACATAAATCTCCTAAATGTCTGATACATCGTCGTCTTCCTCATCTAATTTTTTGTCGCTCTACATACGTCATCTGATGTAATTTGCTACGTACAGACACATTTGATAGACATTTGTAGCACCCAATAATACGGCTCTGGGCATTTGTAAACCACGCCTCAAATACGAGAAAATGAACATGTCGTTTCCAGACCACGTCTCATTCTCAATGATATAAGTGGTCTGGCGTTAGCCAGGCTATCTGAGACGTGTAATAATACTGAGCTTTATTGTTATGTAAATGTGGATAATCATATGTTTTGATGGTTGGGACATACCATAAAACTTCAAATAATAGCCCAGGCTTTTATTTTCCCAAATCGTCGAACTGCACCGGCTTGTATTTGAGACAGGCGTCTAAATGAGACAGGCCTTTATAATTTAGTATTGAGATGTTGTTCATTGAGTGTAAGCTAGTCTCTAATCTTTAAAAATCTCCAAATGCTCCATGTGAAACTGCGGTCTTCCAACCTTTTACTATCGTGTCAATTGATTTTGATTAATATGCGCTAGGGAAAGAGAGCAATACAGCGCACATGTTGTTTGAAGACGTAAAAGTGTGCGTGCTTGGCCGGGCGCTCTCGCTGCTCGATATGCGCTCTGTCAAGCGCAGCAGTCTCTATTCTACGTCACTCACTGATCAAAAAAGGCTAAAGCCTTTTTAAAGTTTGGTGGGACACAATTTTGCTTTGGCGGCCACCAAAAAGCGGACGATCTGACTGGTTTTACAAGATTACATACGTATAGTTTAAAGTTTTACAGCAGTCATGATGATTTCTGAGTGAGCAGATTTGGCTTATTAGTTGTGGTTGGACTGGGGAACTTTGCATTATGAGAATTTGAGTGCCTACATGGTGCAACGCCTTTCAAAAGAGGAAGAAAGAACCTTTTTCCTGTGATATGTCATTTTTATACTCATGTGGTCACTTAAACAGTCACATTACTTTAAGGATTTAGGAAGGGAAACATGCTTCTACTTTGTTCTGGAGATGCACACTAAGACTGTCACTGATGTTTGGGTAAGTCCTTGTAGGATAGGAAGAGCGCTACATTGATGATCTGTCATTTCCTCATCTCCTGCAGTGTATCTGGCAGCAGTAAATGCGGCGTGTGAGCCGGCCCCTATGATCGCTCCTAGAGCCGTGTCTGACGGACAGTTTTACTCCCCGCCGGAGTCCCTGGCAGGTAGAGCCATTCGCTTTCATTCTAATGTGACCCAATGTCTGTTGTTGCTTTATCTCCAGCCTAATGTTTGTGTTTGTCCTCTAGGTTCTGAGGATGATCTTGATGAAGAGGGTCTCGGCAGAAAAGCAGTAACTGAACAAGTATACACATGATTGTTTTCATTATGTTTGCATGGAAGAAATATCTGAAAATGACCTTATTTCTGTCTCTCTAAAAGTAATAAGAACCACTTATTTCATAAGCAAAGCTGGGGTGCATTTCCTGAAAGCATCGTTAGCCAACTGTGCTCACAAGTTCCGTCGTTACAAACATAATTCAACGATTTGCCATTTCATGAAACCATGGTTCCAATGAATATTCGCAAACAGCGTCCTAAACTTGCATGGTTGGAACAACAGCTCTCGAGCTGTGATTAAAGGGATGGTTCACTTTGAAATTATTTTTTGGTATGTTTTAGCTTACCTCAAGGGCATCCAAGATGTAGATGTCTTTGTTTTCACAGTATTTTCAATTTTGAATTTTTTAGGTCAAACCGTTTTTGTCTGTCAGTCATATAATGAAGGTCTATGGTCACCACCTCAAAGAGCGCGCACAGAGAAGTCCAAATTAAACATGATTTAATGACTCGTAAATGTAAGTACACATTGATGGCCTAAAACATTTCAAAAATTAAGCTAAAAATTAATTTCTTGGGCACAATAGGCCTCTATCACATCGTGTTAGAAACAACTAGGAGCGTAAAAATTTTTTTTTAAATATATTGAGCGTAAATTCGCAAGGGAACTCTGAAATATGACTTGTAAGTGAATGAATCAAACATCGACTAAAGCAAAAATGACATGAAACAAAAGCAGTGAAGTAGTCCACCTCCGCGTGACCTCATTAACGACATGTTGAAGCAATGTGTTCCAAACGACAGCGGTGCCACCATCTTACTACAGTGTCTGGAAACAGTTGTGACTAGTTGGTTAGCTTTCTCCAACGATGCAGCGTACTATGGTAGTTAACCAGTAATTACATCGTTGTACGGGACACACACCAGTTAATTCTGTATTCACTTGTTTTTAGGACAAAGAGTTTGTACGACAGGGACGGGAGGCCATGGCAGTGGTGGAACAGATACTGACACAAGAGGAAAACTGGAAGTTTGAGAAGACTAATGTGTGTACACGTCCATGCTTGCAGTATTTATGTGCAAATGGTTTTGTGATTGGCTGAATATGAAACTATTTCATTCTCAGGAGCAGGGAGACGCAGTATATACACTTGAAATCCCATTCCATGGGAAGACGTTTATTTTAAAGGTATGAGACCTGCATATTATGAGCCACCTTATTCCATGTTTCTACATGTATACAGAATCGGTTACGTACCTGTGTTTGGCGTGTTTCAGGCACTCTTGCAGTGTTCAGCAGAGCTGGTGTATCAGGAGGTCATTTTGCAGCCAGAGAAGATGGTGCAGTGGAACAGAACCGTGTCTGTTTGTCAGGTACACGTACACTCTCAGACTCCTCCGTCTGAAAAACATGTGGGTGTGAGGCATGTGTTAATAGTGAAATGTCACATGTACACATCAAAATGTACAAAAAAAAACATTAGGTCACTACCATTCAAAGGGTTTCGGGGTCGGTAAGATTTTTTTATTGTTTCTGAAAGGAGTCTCACCAAAGTTGCATTAATTTGATAGATTGTGAAATATTACAGCTTAAATTAACTTTTCTTTATGTATATATTTTAAAATGTAATTCATTCCATTGTTTGCAAAGACCAAATGATGCTGCTCCAATGTCATGTGTTGTCCGATCAAATGATGATTTGTTAGTCGCTGGATGTCATGTAATGGAGAACTAAATGGACATGTAAAATTGGTGTTCATGTCAGAGATGTGACCTTGCTTTAAGTCAAGTCAAATATATATATAGCTTTTCACAATACAGATTGTATCAAAGCTGCTTCACAGTATCAATCAAGACAACATAACAGTGTTCGTTTATTCATGAAAAAAAGACAATGAAGTTTGGTAGAGCTGATCAATGGTATGATGGGTCAAAAAATTTGAATATCCCCAACTGAGCAAGCCCAAGGCAACAGTGGCAAGGAACCGAAAAACTCCATCAAGTGACCCGATGGTGTCCTAAAACTCCATCAGATCACCCAATGGAGAAAAAAAAACCTTTAAACAGTGTGATATTTATATGGATGACATGGATTTCACTATCCTCTGACTGTCCCTGCTAATTATAAAGACAAAACTCTTAAGAAGCTACAAAAAAATGTTTATGTTGAATGGATTGAGATTACAATCAACGTTCTCTCTGTTCCCTCCTCTGATCTGCCCATAGATTTTACAGAGAGTGGATGACAACACGATGGTGTCCTATGATGTATCTGCAGGAGCTGCTGGAGGTGTAGTGTCTCCCAGGTGGCTGTTTTTGCTTCTCAATGTGTCAAATTGAAGCTTAGCCCTGTTTAACAGGCTGCAGTCTTCACTACATATATATTTTCAATACATAGTCATGTGATAATTTATACTAGTGCTCAAATGATTCAAACAGCGTCTTTCTCGTTTTTGACATTCAGGGACTTTGTAAATGTTCGTCGGGTGGAGCGCAGGCGAGACTGCTACATTTCTGCAGGAATGGCGACCAATTACATCAGCAAACCTCCTCAGAGTCGCTACGTCAGGTCTGTCGTGTCCTCGGCCTGTTAAAATGCAGAACGTATTTAAGCTGTAAACTAAACTCTCTCTCTCTCTCTCTCTCTCTCTCTCTCAGAGGGGAAAATGGTCCTGGTGGATTTGTTGTGTTGAAATCCAACAGTAATCCTTCAGTTTGCACCTTCATCTGGGTTCTGAATACAGACCTTAAGGTAAGAGCTTCATGTAAGGTTTGTACATTGAAGCCATTTTAACGTATTCAAATCATGCATGTTTTTAATTAAGTGTTTGCAAATGCAAGAATCACTATTAGTGTTGTGCATATTTGATGTTAATGGGTTGTTTAGATGTCTGACCCCAATTATTTAACATCATTTGTGTTACGGACATGAATTATGCTTCAAATCATGCAACTTGTTGAGGAGATGTCTACAACACTATAACATTTGAAGCATTCAGATTTATCGCAGATGGAAAAATCCAACAGACTTGCAGCAAACCTACTTTTTAGATGTGGCCCAATAGAGTGCCGAAGTTATCACGTCACTTTGTAGGCCAAAACGCGGAAGTGAGTTAGCATTTTAACACTCCCGGTTCCCTCGTTTTAAAGTCTATGGGATTTTTGAATGGGTTTTTGCTAAATCGCCTGAAATAAGGTCTGTGGTGAACAAAGCCTCTAAATATTTTCACGTTTTGATCGCTGACATAAAACACACCAGTTATAATCTGCTTGTGGTTTTTTAAACTTTGTGTATTTTTTTTCCCTTATATATAGGCTTCGACATGTATACATTTTGGATCAGGCCGATTATTAACCGATATATTTTAAATAAGTGGCAAGTAGAGTGGAATATGTGCAAGAATAATAAGTTGTATGAAACTCATCCGGAGTTTCAACAAACAGACTTTCTACCAATTTTAAAACTAGATTTGATCAAGTGGTCTACACCAGGTCATACAAGTTTGACCCATGCTTTTTTGCTTAAAGTTGAAGACCCAACCTTATGTATGTTTGTAAAATTCCTTTATCTCTCAAACATTTTTTATTAGATTGTCCTGGACTTCACACAAGCAGAAGGCTCTTTTATGAAGTTACTTCTTTGAAGGACATATTTAATGAGATTATGCCTGAAAAGGTTCTGGATTTTTTTATCATATGTTAATTTAATATGACTTCTTGTTTATATTTGTTTTGTTTTTGATGTATTTATATGATGTTTGTATTTTTGTAAATGAATTTTTGCCATGAAAATAGCTTTGACTGCTGACATGGCATGAAATAAAATAATCTGAATCTGTATAAATTTTGGATTAACTTGTAAAGATTATCTTGATAGACAAAACGTGTAGGTTTTCAACTCACAACTTTTTGTTGAACACAGATCTTATTTTTTGCGATTTTCCAAAAGTCTATGGGGAAAATGCATAGCTTTTTGATCGAGGGAACCCATGCAACGCTAACTTCCGAGTTGTCCTACAAAGTGACGTCATCACTTCGGCACTCTATTTGATGCCCCGAAACAACCCAAATTTTGTTTATAAGTACGTTTTGACTCAATTATATATAATCCATTAATTATCAATGTATTTTCTTCTCACAGGGTCGCCTCCCACGTTACCTCATCCACCAGTCACTGGCCGCCACCATGTTTGAGTTCATGTCTCATCTCAGGCAGCGTATAAATGATGTCCACGTCTCCTACCGGTGATCTCCGGCTTTGACTCTTTATCCAGCCACAGTTTACGTGGTGGTAACTTCAAATTACACTGCGCCATATTCATTCTCCTGTAAACTACAGTTGTCATGAGGAGATCCAGCATATCATTTGACTGGTGGAAGGTTGTGAGTGTTTGGCTGCACTTCATACTGAAGTTAAAGCTGATATAGATGTACTACTACAGCACATGGACATGAGGCCGAACTCATGCTGTCAAATCACACAAGAGCTAGAAACATGCACAGGAAATTGTGTGGTGTGTTAGGGGAAATGGATGTGTTATTCAGCTGTGCCTAAAACCACTGTTGTCCCCCTAGTGAACATGACTGAATGCTAGGATGGTTTCTATACAATATTCTGAGCCAAATCCGCTGCGGTTTCTCATTCTGCTTTTACTTGTGCCTTAATCGTTCATGGACACACAGTTGTACTAATATTAATTATTGTTTTAGGTCTTATTATGGTTTTCATTGCTGAGTTTAGATTATTAAAAGTAAATGTATTCATCTGTAGTGTAGATCAGCAGTCTGCTATGTGTGATAATTTTGTCTAATAATGTATACGGTTAAGAGTTTGATTATGCAGTTACGTCTTAAATCAACATTATCCGGTTAACTAGTAACAAAACATTCATAAATTCTGCTGCTACAACAATAACAAAAAAATATTGAAGCAAACAGTTGTGCTTAAACCAACCAATCTGAAATGAATGTAATGGGCCTTTTATTGAAATTTGCATTTATTTTTTCCTCTTTCTGTATTGCATGTCAGTTTATTTTCACACAGAGCATAATCGACAGCTTTTTATTGGTTATACACCCATGTTTACCACATTTATACAGGGCATCGCATTTTATAAACATTTGAAACCGGAAATGAATCCTAGTCACCAGTTGTGTGATTAGTATTGCCACTAATATGAATGCCGCTTATAAAATGTGAATGTGACCTTCATGAATAAGTTGCCTTGAAGCAAGCAAAATACTTTTTGCTTTTAATGGAGAGGAAAGACTCTCTTACAGGGTATTTCGCTTCCTTTTAAGGGACGGCATGTTTAGGTCAGTTTATCAGTGATGTTGTGAATGATGTTGATCTTTTCAAACAGTCTTGTTCTTGTTTTGCAGCCGTATTGGTTTGTACTTGTGTGCCTTTGTTCTCGTTTCCCTCACTGAAATCACATGTTCAGGAATGCTTACGTTATTTAGATGTATTTTGTATCTGTACATACCTTTTTTGACATCTACAGACTGTAACCACATTTACTTGTGCAGAGCCTTTTTGCAGTTCACTTGAATTCATTCAATTCAGGTTCTGTGTGAATGTTATTTTTATACTGATTTACAGTAATATGAAGCTATACGGAATTTTGTCATGATATTCAAAAATCAGATTTTCTGCTAAGTTCAATAATCGACATTTAATAAAACTAACAAACAGTTTATACATGATGTCTTGTTATTTGTTTCAGATTTATTGTTAATTAAACCCCCAAACTGCATGAATATGGAAATGTACAATGTAAAAAAATTAATTATTAATATTTTATATAAAATATATATTTTCAAAACCTGGGATACTCTAAAAGTGCAGAAAAATCAAAGCCTAAAATCTGAACAAGTTGTGTTTAAGATTTTAGGTTGATTTCTCAAAAAAATGAGCTTTCTGTGAGATTTTGTTTGGGCGCAGTACCAAACTTTTTCACTAGGGCACAACCAGACTCCATTGCTGCCCATATAAGGGTGCCTCCATTTCCATGTGTTTTAAGTGATATGAACCATTATTTTCACAATGTTCATACAATTTATGAAGTAGAGATCCAATTCAGAAGTAGTATGGGAAGTTTGGCAGATTTTGATATGAATTTAACCTCTAAGAAACACAAACAAAAGAAAATGCATGCACGTTATAGCTTATTGACACTTCACAAATGGTGATTTTTTTTTTCCATAATATTTAAAACATTTTCAGACCTTTTTTTCTAAAATAATTGAATGGATGCAATCTTTTAAACTCTTGGCATGAAAACAAACTGAGGTGTCTACCTTTTTTTTCATGATTTTCCATGTTCATAGCTATTTCAAAATAAAGGCCTCAACACGCTTTACGAGTATGAAAATATTCTTGTTGCAAATTGATAAATTACGGCTCCTGTGTAATTTATTTTGAAAATCAGTCACCAAATTTGGAAACTAGAGATTGTAAGCTTTCAAATGATATATAGTTTGTCAATATTACTTAAAGGAGTAGTTCACTCTTGAAAAAACTTTACTCACCCCCATGTCATCCAAGATGGATGTCTTTCTTACTTCAGTCAAAAAGAAATTAAGGTTTTTGATGAAAACATCCCAGGATTTTTCTCCATATAATGCACTGTATATGTGCAAAAACCTTTTTGTCATTTGTGAACTATATATCTGATATTTTATCATATAAAACCTAAAAATATTGTGAAATGTTTTGCTTGAACATTGTTCTTGTGCCATCTTTATTTGAAATAAATGCCATTTGTTGGTATATTTTATCTACTGCAATGACATTCAGACCTTTGAAAGTGCAGCTTTAAGAGTCCAAAAGCTTTAGAATTACATTTATTCATTTAATTTACACTTTTATCCAAAGTGACAAAATATGCTAGAAATAATAGCTATTAACTCTGTATTAATTATATGCTATTTTATCTTCTCTTAAAAAAAAAAAAAAAAACACCCTGACATAATCACAAGGATGATTATTTGTAGTATGTCTTTTCAGTTAACAGCCTCTGGCAGAGTAAGTTGTGCTCCGTCCACCGTGTGATAGCGCACACACAGCCTATGAGCCTCTCACATGAGTGTCACACATCAAACACTTCTCTATTTCCCTCCTTCCCTCTCATAAATTCTGAGGTTTGGAATTTTGTTTATTCATGTGATCCTTGTACACATTTGGCGGATTGTCTTAATTGGAATTTGACAAAAATCCGCATTTGAGAAGAAAACTGGCCACAGTGATCAAACCATACAGATGCAATGGGGGATGTGAAGTGTTTGTTTTTTCCTCAAGGACTGTAAAATTAAATTACATCCATAGCAAAACGCATAAGTGTCTGTTTAGTTCTAGAATTTTGTGACTATGCTACCAACCTGCAACTGAAATACCCAACATTTTTAATGATAAACGACAAACATTTTAGAATTTTGATTTCACATGCTTAAAATGGTATATATATTCAGTAGAAAAAAACATAGCATTGAGCCCTGATGTATACGTTGATTTCACGCAGCCGCCATTTTGAAATCGAAAGCGAGGCTCCGGTGGGAAGAGCCCCGGAAGTACAGATACAACAATGCCTTGGACAACTAACCTGAAGCTGCTGCCGCGATTTACACTATTGGATGTTAATATCCAATATAGGATATGTATATACTGGAAGTTCGTTCCTGCTTCTGTTCTGAATTATATATAAAAAATAATTTTATTTATAAATTAATTTCACTGTATATAGTCTAAAGTATGAAAGAAATGTATGTTCATTTTTTGTTTTTGCACATTAAGTTTATGTACACAATTCGTTCACTGAATGAACCAAATGACTCGGAAAAAGATTCGTTCATTTCGATGAACGAGTTCAAACAGGAGAGTCACAAACGTGCGTCACAGAACAGAGCAAGGCGAGCATTTGAGCTTATAAAACTTAAACTTTGTTATTTATTTATTAAATGAGCGATCGTTTCACTTGATAAGACCCATATTCATCGTCTGGAATCATTTAAAGCCCACTTCCCACTGAAGTGCATTATATGGAGAAAAATGCTGGAATGTTTTCAGCAAAAACCTTAATTTCTTTTCGACTGAAGAAAGAAAGACATGGACATTTTGGATGACATGGGGGTGAGTAAATTATCAGTAAAAGTTTTTTCAAAAGTGAACTACTCCTTTAATTCTACAACATATGGTGTAAAAACGTGTGAGTGCTGCCCTCTTCAGGTTAAACGGTGGCTATTGCAGTGGAATTTTCCTATTGGAAGTTGTGGTGCCCTGTGAGGTAAGAGGGTACCAGCTAACCACGCCCTTGCCTAAATAGAATTTAGAATCAGGTTAATGCCCCCCTCCGCCTGGGCTCTGCCCACTTTTCCAGCATTTTTCAAATATTGCCAGTGGGTGGAGTCAGGCTCTGACCAGGGGTTTAGTTACCCTTTAAATGAATATTTAAAATATACTGTCTTTATGTTGTTCAATGTAAAAGTATCACAATATTTACTTTAAGTAATGTATTTATAAAACAATTGTAAAAAAAAAAAGGACTTGCCAAATTGATTAATTGCATCTAACATGAAAGTTTTTGCTTATATATTTGTTTATAGGCTGTATGTACGTGTATATATATATATATTAATACAGTATAATATGTATGTATGTATGTATATATATATATAATATATATATAATTTGTTGATTTCTTTCATCGATTGACAGCACTAATAAATAAAATGAAATAAAAATAAGTTAAATATATATATATGTATATATTAGATTAATGAAATTAGTTTTATGTAGAGTTTGACAAGGCAGGGTATTGAAGACAAAACCCTGAAATGTATCAAACATAACTGAAATAAGTCCAAATTAAAGCACTAAAATTACATACTAAAAACTGAAAAATTAATTAAACCGGAAATAGTAATCACAAAAACAAAACAAAAAATGACAAAAGCACCTCAAATTACTAAATGAAAATTAAAACTGAAATAAAAGCTGCTTTCAAAATAGTAATAAAACTGTAATTAGTTCATAAAATAGCACCGACCTGCTGTTATGTGCTTCTCAAGACTGGTATTTACTGGTTTGATTCTTTTGCCAGTGAGTTTTTCCATGAAATGTGAGCTGGAGGTTTAGGATTATTGTTTTTTATAACAATATGAAGCAACTGTGCTATTCAGGCTAATCACTGTTTTTCCTTCAAACCTGCTTCATTTTTACTGAAATAGTTTTCAAATCTTATGAAGTGCTGGTGTATGCGATCCAAAACTGAACTGTTGAAAACGTTCCCAGAGGTAAAAGTACATTTGTGTTTTGGGGCTGTAGGACGAGTGGCTTTATTTAGAGGTCTGTGATGGCCTCAGGTTACACGGCTCAGACTCATGACTAAACTGTGATGCTATTCATTCTAGAGTCGCTGAAATGTTTTAGTTGCTCTCTGGGCCGCAAAAGATGCTTCTCCTCGCAATAAGACAAAACTGCGTTTAGACTTGAATTGATGGATTCAGCATTTTTCCAGCAGTTTCTTGGGTAAGTTACATCAAAACAATACATTACACAAATTTCATCTGAAACTACTCGACAAATGATACTCTGAGGGATGAGGTTCACCTTGAAGACCCCGGAGAACTACAAATGACAGCTTGAACAAAGGCAGAATACACATGTTTTTAAATTCATCCTCAGAAATCTCACCTTTATTCTCTTGGAGGGGCAGATACTCTTGAACTTGAACTTTTTTTCTTTCCTTATCTTCTAGTTTTGTATTTTGAGGATGGGTGCCGCCTTCAAGAGGTTCTGTGTGCGATTCTGCTGTTGCTGCTGCTGTGAGGATGATGATGAGGAAGAAAAGAGACCTTTACTTAGGTATTCAGTGGATGTGGGGTCGGTTTGTTTTTAAATCATGCCTGTCTGATAGTTTGAGTTCAGACAAACTTTCTGTCTAATTTTTTCAATTGTTATTATTTTAAATAATAATAGTTACTACCATACTCTGTTTTATCAGAAATATCTTTGCATATCACTTTGGTTCAAACTATGCTAAGTTTAAACACACGTTTTCTCTTTAAAACTAACATTAATGGTACTAACTCTTCAAGAATAGGCTAACATGTTGTGGAAATAGTTTTTCATAATGTTTAATTCACAACTTACGGTCCAACGGTCTTCAGTCTGCTTCCCCTTCCGACCAACAGCTGCCTGACAGAATGAAGGAAAAACGGTTTTATTGCTAACTAACAGTTACAAAATAATATCTAACACACTAATACATATATTCACACTAAAATGTCCTCATGTTGCTAAAGTATTCGAACATTGTATGTGTGTGTGTGTGTGTGTTTGTTAGTCACGATACATTAGAATATTTTGAGCGCGAGGCAAAAAGAAGGCGGGACCAAGAGACCAACCTGTGGAGTGAACCAGGAGACCCTTCCCACTCTGAGAGAGATGACGACCGCATTCTCTACAACCTGCTGCAGACCAGAGCCCAAACCCAACGAGGCTCTCATGTAAGACGTGTATAATTAACTTATATTTAAATTCGATACGTGACTAATGCTGCGTTCATGCCATTATTAACGTAAATAAAGCTCCTCGAATCGCTCCCGCGGAGTCTGCACAGCGCCGCTTCAAGTCGAACACACCTTGGTCAGGTGGTACAGTGGCCACGTGGTACAAGTTCTACAAGCACGTGAAGGCTTTTTACAGTTAATAATCATTATGCTAATTACAACATGAAGTGAACTCACTTAAAAACAGATGTGATCATCTTTTGAAGTGTATGGCTGCATCTGAAATCGCTTAGGAACTATAGTTTTTAATAAGATTAGCCTACTTCACGATTGTGTTCTACGAATGTGTGTAGTATGAATGTAATCTATTAGACAAACTAGATTCGCCATGTTGTCTCAGAAATGAGTCGCCACACATCAAAAATTACCATACAGCCCTATATAATAAAAAATAAAAAATAATGCAGCCAGAAAAAAAGATTACAATTATTGAGTGCAAAATTATCTTTTTTTCTTCTTCTTCTTTTTTGTTGTTGTAATGATTTACAAATACAGCCATGTGGTATATCATAAAAAAAATAAGAATGGTTAAATACAAATTATTTAGTCCCATTATTTGTCGCATTTGGACAATTTTAGAAACATCAAGGTGTTTGTTTACACATTACAATATTTTCTTCCATTCCCAACTTAGTTTGTAGGGACAACTAAAGTAAGACATTTGTGTCATTTTTGAGTCTTGATGGTTGAGTTCAGTCCTGTCTTCTTTCCGGTAGGGTTACCGACGTTTGAGCATCGACATTGAGGCCATGAGAGACATGAGAAGAGAGGTGCAAGATAAATGGAAGATGATCTTAGAGAACCTGGGTAAGAGATTTTGCGAGAAATAATGTTTAAATGATTTGCTAAGAGGGACAGTCTGTCACTGAGAGGTTTGGTTGATTCTCTCAGGGTTCATGGCCGAAGCAGAGTCTCTGTTGAATGTGTCTGCCAGCGCCTCATACGACCGCATGAGAAACGCGGCGACCGCCCGCACCCTTCTACAGACCCTCTACACCGAAACATCATTATTCAACAGCAATGAGCCTCCACCCGAGAGATACCTCTTCATCCTGGTGAGCATGTCACTGAAACTCACTTCAAGTATGAACAATCGATGACAGTCTAAATCAGAATTAAAATATTGCTGCGTAATTCTCGTCAATCAATCCAGTATATTTCTATTTAATGGGAGGTGATTCACGCATAATATTTTGCATCTTGCAATAATTTGCACGGTTTGACGTGATATGCTAAGCGATCGTTAGATTTAATCAGCGCGATTTACTGCAATGCTTTTTTCCCTTTGTCGGTGGTCCGAACAAAAGTGGATGCTAGTTACTTGTTTGATGACATTTTCTGGTCATACTTACAAAAAGAATAATCTGTGATTCTGAATGCCAGTACTCTGATTCTGAATGAACTCTCCTCAAACATACGATTCATCCTCGCTGTGCCGTGCCGAGGCACAACCCACGTAAAGATGATAACTGCAATTGCAGATTTCGAACAGAGATGGCGACAAAGAGGAAACACTACGGACTGCAGCTTTGTCCATAGTAACTAATGTTAATAAATGATAATTGTACTACAAAACTACAAAAGGTTAAAAAACAAATTGTTATGTTCAAATGTGTGCATGTTTATTATATAATAAACCAATTGCATGATTTAAAATCTCACATAGGAAGGTTATTGATAAGAATATTTGTAAAAAAAAAAATCAGAAAATGCTTAGCAAATGTTATGTAAATCTTTAGTACCTCCCCCAAAAATATTCTCATATTGTGAACGGCCCCCAAAAATCACTAGGTTTTGAGCAACCATGAACACCAATCAAATCTTCTTCCCCACTTTTCATATTTATTAACATTTCGCTCAGGACCGGCTCATTTATCTGGATGCTGCTGATGATTTTGTGGCCAAGGCTCGTCGCTTCTACCCTCCTAAAGATGACAACGATGAAGAAGATAACCCCCTTGGGATTGATCTGCCTCTGTTGCTGTCCCGAATGAATCAGAACATCTCTGGAGGAGAGGATGAGGATGATGATGATGGGGGTGAGATCACCGGACCTGAGGACTGACACTGAGACGATTTCATGATCTGTTAGATGTATTTCTGGAGCATTTCCATTGCAAGAAAAGGGGTGACTTAAAATGCAATAACATCAAGAATATGGGATTCGTTAATTCTCTTGAACCTTTATTTAACTGACAAAAGTACAAAGAAAAGATTTTTAGTCTTTTCAGTGGCCAACTTAATAGGTTTTTTTGCATGGGTTTACCATTGTGTGCTGTGTTCAGATGAATCCATGTTGCATCTTGCTGACAAAAACAGACATCGAGTTCTCAGTCTCAAAGACGAAAGGCACTATCCAGACTTTCAACAGCGACAGGTGTAAATTCAAACATCGCTCGTCGTGGAATGGAGATGCATCAATGCAAACGGCATGGGTGAGTTGCATATGTGTGAAGGTACCATTGATGTGGAGGCGTATATACGGAGATATATTGCCATCAAGATGACATCTTTCTTGGGAAGTGAGACTATGCCAGGCCTCATTCTGCACACGCTAGAACAGTGTTTTCGAAGACACTACTTCTGCAGTCCAGATCTGTCTCCTATTGAAAGATATACAGCCCATCATGAAAAGGAGAATCACTCAACAACAACCAGATTGTAGCAAGAAAAATCCACGATTGGACAAAAAAAAATTGATTTAAAAAAAGCAGCAGGATTGAAAATCCTCAATTCCAATTAAAAGGTGATGTGATAAACATGCTTTTTACCCCAATTAAATATATTTACGCCATTAAATATATTTACAAAATACAACTAAGTTGGTACAAATCTTCTCTTTGTATTTTTGTCAGTGAATTAGGCTAACGAATCCCAGATTCTTGATTTTATTGCATTGTCACAATTAACTTTCTGGAAATGGCTTTGTAAATGGATTTGGACTGATATCGGCTCGGGGCAAGGTGGATGGGAATGTAGAAGATTAAATGGCACAGGTTTAATCATTAGACAAATGTTTTGGTGAGAAAGGGGAAACTATTTTCAGAATGTTCAAAATAGCTGATGAAATCACATCTTGTGTAACTGTGAATTATAAGATCAGTAGGAGATTCAGGATTACTGAGGCATGTTTATATTGTAAGTGTATGATGGTGAACTTGAAGTGAATTTTAATAAATAGAAAAAAAGTTTTTCTCTTGAAATTTGCGTCTGTGTTCTTTACATTGAATGCGGATGTATGAATCATCACTGTTGCGGTGGCTGAAACGAGAGGACACAAGAATACATTCATAACTATGTCTGGAAACCTTAAAAACGATCTATTTCATACTTATTAAGAGAGACAAGTGTTCTCAATGACAGCTTTTTGTAATGCAACATACAAATGAATGAATGCTTGACAGTTCAATCTTTTCCCATCTCGTTTAAAATATTGCCAAAAGTATTCTGGTGGTGGTTTGAAAAGCTCTTTCCAGAGACCTTAGCATTGTTGTACATTATCAGTACATGATTTCCTAATTTACATTTGACGTTAAATAGCCGACTCAAGTTCACAATTGTTTGATGCACAATAAGGTTCTTCACCTCATTAGTTTCAGAGAAACAACATCTTTCCATAAGAAGCACAAACTTGATCACCACATGTATTTTATGCATCTTATGCACGTTATTCCTTTATCATTCATGGTATTTATTTAGCAGTTGTGTTGATTTACTCATTTTTTGTTGTTAATAAAACACATTTGATTACACTTGTGTATTCCTTGTGTTGATAATACAATAATAAGAGTCTGATACCTCACGAATCCTTCAGATGACAAAGACCCTTTCATTTACATAATTTTTATTTGTTCAATAACTTTGTTCTCTAATGACATGGTGGAATTCCTGGCTGGTCATTAAATAATCTCATGCACACCTTTAATGTCATGTGACCATAACAAAACATGAAAAAATCTACACAACTGGTGCCTTGTGTGGACAATTCTTCAATTTTTACAATTTTTTACAAAATCGTATTGTAAAACTGTTAAGATTATCGTTACGAAAAAGAAACATTTATTCTTGGCTTACAGTTTCACCAACAATTGGCTGATAGTGAAACTATATTGTTACTTCGTTTGCAACTTGTCAAATTAAAACTGCGAACCCTTAAGAGAAAACCTTAATATTTCAACTTGAAAATAAAAGATGCATGTAGATTGCTTAATTGGTGGGAAAAAAAACTATACTGGAAATTAATTTAAAAGCTAATTCATGTTCTAGCTTTAAAAATGGGATGTTTGTATTATTTATTTCCAATAGTTTAGTCCTCTAAAATGATCGAGATAAATTTGCCTAAATTCGATTGGTGAACCCTCGGCAAAGTAGATAAATACACAATAATATCAACAAATAACAGGATTAAAAGAAACAGTAACCTTTTTATTGAACATTTTATTGAGGTCCCAAAAACCATCATCAACAATATTATGTAAACAATATTAATTAGGAAAATAATAAAAAACAAACAGCTCAAATTTCCACAGCCCCCAGGGTTGAGCGGACAGTACGAGGGAGTGGATTCAAGCTAAGACGAGATATCATGTGCAATCAGGAATGTAGACATGGTGTGCGGCACTGTGAGGACTGGAGTCTGCTGAGGGCTACTGCTGGACCTGCCGACATCAGACAAACAACACTTAACAAGAGACGCGACACAACGGCAAATCTGCAGGATGTCTATTTGAATGATGAGCAAAATTCATGAAGTGTCTAAAATATCGAAAATGTGATGAGGTTTTCTGTACTTAATGACTCTGTCTATCATTTATGTATAAGGTCAGATGTGGCACAGAGCTAAATTTAGACATTGCACAATATATGTCGACGGTTTAATGGGGGAAAAGACTAGCTCCTGTGCTTTCACAGTGGATAAGTGGCACACGACATAATTCATGACAAGTTTGTTTTTCCATGATCGATTCAGAAAGTGAATGATTTCTGGGAAAACCTTAGTGGTTACTCTTGTGCAGACTTAATATGTAACGAGTGTATGGCTGACTGAATAAAGAAACAATAGCCTTGTATGGATTATGGATGTAACTTAAGTATTTTTTTGTATTACATTTTTTTCCATTTAATTTTATCTTTATTTAATTGTGTTCGTCTACCATTTTACATATTTAGGCCCGATAAATCGAAATCAAATTTTATATAATTTTTGAGAGCCTGATTTAAAAAAAAACAAAAAAACTCACCAATAATTCCATGTCCTAAGCACACAATAACCATGTCTGATTATAATTTTATGTAACCTATGACAGACTTCCACTACACATTGCACTGAACTGTATTTTTTTTTTTATGATTTCAAACATATTTCAAGCAATTCAAAACCATCATGGTGAAGTGTGCAATCCATCTGAAGTGTCTCAGCTCAAGGAACTAATTAGCGGTCAACTATTACATGAAATTACTAGGGCTGTGCAAAAATTAATTGCGATTAATCACATCCGAAATAAAAGTCTGCGTTTACATAATATATTTGTGTGTGCTGTATATAATTATTTTGTATATATATTTAAGAAAATGTATTATTCATATATAAAATATTTATATTTATATAATATAGATTATGTATTTATATATATATATATATATATATATATATATATAAATACAGAATTTAAGCGCAAATAATTCATAAATATATACAGACATGCATAGGTATTTATATATACAAAATAATTATATACAACACACACACACATATATTATGTAAACACAGACTTTTATTTTGGATGCGATTAATCGCAATTAATTTTTGCACAGCCCTAGAAATGACATAAATGCATATATAAATGAATTAAAATACATGGGAATCAAATAATAATTTCCCCCACTGTATATAAACAACTTGCTAGTAAGTACAGTTTTTTTTTTTTTTTTAAATACTAAATGTTGACTATAAAAACATAACATAAATCCTAGCAATACAGGTAGGTGTTGACATACCTGCTGAGACTGTGTGTCTGGTCCTCTGCTGGCCAAACGGCTGAGAATGTTTCTTTCAGACATTTGCAGCCTCACGGCAACAGGCGGGATCCTGGCGATGGTCGCCGGGAGACGGGTGACATCTGCTTTCATGTCACTTAGCAACTCCTCCAGCTGTTTTAGTACTACCAGAAACAAATACAAAGAGGAAGTGAGTGTGTGTTGTCTTCTGTAACTCTGGAATTACATTAAAACAGCATGAGCTCAAATTACGTACCTTTATGTAGGACGGCGTTGGCAGGTTTGTTTCCGGACATGGATTCCTTGCTCAGGTGCTGGTGGGACTCGGCCAGACACTCCACTTCACTGAAGCGTGTGTTGAGAGCCATGGAGGGGTGAGAGGGGTCTTCAGTCATGTTGAGATACGCAGCTCTGCGCAGCTGTTCTTCAATCACCAGAGCCTGCTCAAGCAACTACACAAGAAAACTGTTACTAAGGCTACGTTCACACACACATTATTTGTGTATCCCATTATGGAATCTGATCTAAAATCGATTCATTTTCCAAAATATCTGCATTGGTTTCTATGGTAATGATAACTGGTGATAATCAACGACAACTTCAACACAGAGGGGTTTGCAATACATATGTTGTCTTATTTATAATAAGACAATGTTTAACTGGAACCGTATTAAGGCTTGTATGTGTGGATTTATTCATCTCCGCTGGTTTCAAATCATGTCTCCGTTTTATTGGCATTTTCTGCACATCCAGCACTTTGCAACAACACAGCATTGTTTTCAACGTCAGATGTTCATGTTTACATGGCGAGAGACAGTCCCAAACCAAGAGAAATCTAATCAGAGCAGTCGAACCGAAATGGATTTCCAGAAAAGCTAAATGAATAGGATTTAAAACCATGAATAGGATGAATAAAACAAAAAATGAATAAAACTATGAATAGGATTTAAAACCATATATGAATGTAGTTAGAAATGGATTTGTAAAAAACCCTTCAGTGTTTCCCCTGGGATTTTTTTTCAGGGGTGGGGACTGCTAAGTGTTGCGGAGCGGGCGTGTTACGGATACGTAGTGTACATTTTTTAGCAATCAAAAAGCATGTCTAATTAATTGA